CCTAGCATAGGAACCATTTGGAATCCTCTTGCAAATGATTTCTGCAAAGCAAATAAAATTTGATATGTCAAGGTAGAATATCCATCCATTCATTCACTGGCTTATCCTGTACTGGGTTGTGGAGAGGTTGGATACTATCCCAGACAGCATAGAGAACATCCTGGCAGAGATGCTGGTCCATCACAGGACAGTCATATGTCACACTCACATGCAGATTTTTAAAATTCATTCCATAAAGAATACAGGCTGCTCTGCAGTCATAAAGGGATCCTACCTGGTGTGCAGGTGCCCACTAAGTATGTTTTAGGTATATTTAATACTCACGAATGCATTGAGGTAACTGCCATTCTCCATTGACACATTTTGCCACGCCACAGTCATCAGAACCAGCATCTTTATTTGATTTACCAGTTGCCGTTGTATTATCACAGCCCTCTTGAGCTAGAACGACAGAGCAGTGACACATATCAGATGCTAAAGGTCAGAACAACAAAATACAACAGTCCCAAAAGGAAAAGAGGTGTCCAATAAGAGGATTGATCAGACAGGGCCCCCCTGGTGACTGCTGGGCCCTAAACAGCAGAGGTGGAGATTTCGGGTCCAGAGCATTCAAATCCAGACCAAGATTTTGTTTCAACCAACCAGTTGAGTATAAAGAGTCACAGTCAGAGACAACTCTACTGGTTGGTTGAAACTAAATCTTGGTCTGGATCTGTACTTTGTGGACCTGAAATCTCCACCTCTGCTGAACAGTCTGTGCCATATGTCACACTCCTTGTCACACCCATATTTGGGAGTGTGGGACACAGAAATTTCAACCATCCATTTTCCATACCACTTTATACATTATAGGTTCACAATCAACCTGGAATTCCCAGGAAGCATGGGGGAAGGATCAGAAGGCTATTGATCTGTTCGACTTAAATTACTGAAACACGTTATATTGCATTATGAATTACCGAAAACCAAACGATATATACACCCTTTAGGGCTGCACAGCATTGAAAAATTTTCACAAATTGTGATGTGATCACAAAACAATTTTTTAACAAGCCCGTTTACGTTCGCAATGTGAAAAGTATCTAAAGATCTGTAAATATCAGTTATGTCAATAATTAAACAGTTTCAGTACTGATTTATTATGGTATTGATTCTACAAGCTGGGCAACTGGTTCGTTCTAACCACTGAGGCTCATAGGCTACCAATGCCCCTCAACCTCAGTGCAGTCTCACAAATTACTGCCCGAATAACAAAATTATAATTTCTTGCAATAGCTTCTAGGCCGTGGGATCCAGTCACCCAGGGAATTTTTTCTGTTCTTTTCAATAGCTTCTAGGCTCTGGGATCCAGTAAACCAACACCAGTATCGTAGAAGTACTACCTAAGTACTTTTTTTCTCAGTAAAACTTCATACAAAATACATAATGGGTTACAACTGTGTCCTGTGTGTCTACAGTAGCACTACAACATGCACCTGGTTTTTGGTCTCATGAGGAAGTGTTGATAAGTATTGATCATTCAGATACAATTGGAACAAGTGTTTGTGCTTTGAGACACAAGATAAAGAAGGCATGTAAAACTAATGAATACCTGTTCTAAGATAGATAAGATTAGATAGATCTTTATTGTCACTATTACAGAAACAGTGAAAAACAGTTTAGCAGCATAAGTTAAAGTAATAAATAAGAGAGATAAGAACAACATACAAAAAGAGACAGTCATCCTATTACAGTGTGAGTGTCTGAGTACCTTGTGTACAATATGTCAGTTGAGGTAGTGTGTGCTTAATGACCTGCCCTAAGCATAGAGTTGCATAGAATTACATCTATTATGCATTGTAATAATAATATAAAGTAACATCCAAATTTTAATAGTTTTTACTGCTCGTGAATGTCCCTGAATGTGACTACAGTGCAATTACATTGGCTACTACTGCACCTGAAAATATTCTTTGACTGACAATGTAATGTGACATAAGTTTACAAAAAGTTTTTACTGCAAAGAAAATTAGAATTGAAAATGGTATCAAATTTCAGTACTTTTCTCAGTATCGTATCGAAGTTTGAAATTTTGGTATCTTGAGCACATTGAAATGTGGGAGGAAATCTACCTGAGAGCATGCACAGAGGTGTGTGGTACCGTGGATAGACTACAGCAGAACAGAGTAATTGTGTTATGACCGCATGTTGCTGACTGAGATGGACCCAGTTTAGCACTTCAGACACGGTATATGAGGTCTCTGTCACATGGACGACTGCTACCATGTGCCGATTGGAGTTTGATGGTGTACAGTCATAGTGTCGGCTGTTCTTAACCCTCTGGGCTATAGATTATATAGACATGTTCTCTTCTTTGCTTCTGGGTCTTTGTAGCTTGTACACTATATATCACTAACACATTACTCACCGGTGCATGCTGGTACTTTCAGACTTCCGCTGATGCATTTTGTAGAATAACCTACATCACATTCAACTTCAACATAATCTCCATGACTATACTCTTTATTGTTTTTTTCGGCTCTTCCATTTGCGATTGCTGGCAGATCCCTGCAGCGATTTTTATCTACAAATGAAAAAAAATCAAACAGCCATTAAGAAGCTCAAAACAATCACGTAGTGAAAATGGCAACACAATCCAAAGGTCAGATGGCATGAGTTAGGAGGGTAACTTGTAATTTCAGATCTGGATTAATTTCTGTTGAAATTAATGATACAATTTGAATATTTTAACATTGCATCCCAGTGAAAATAGCCAAATTGACATTTTGGGGTGGCACATACAGTATACTATATGGGGACACTTGGCATTACACCTACAGGAACTTTTATGACATCCGGTTCTAACCCTAAAGCATTAAGAGTTCACCGAAACTAAGGGGCCTTACCCACTCCCAGAAAAACACCCCCATACCATCATCCCATCTAAATGGTAAATGGACTGCATTTATATAGCGCTTTTTACCAAAGCACTTTACAATGTACGCCTCACATTCACACACTGGTGGCGGAAGCTGCCATGCAAGGTGCCAACCAGTTCACTGGGAGCAATTGGGGGTTCAGTGTCTTGCTCAAGGACACTTCGATGGGGTCAGGAGGACCCAGGGCTCAAACCTGCAACCCTCCGGCTGCCGAACGGTAGCACTACCTCCTGCACCACCATCGCCCCATCGCCATCAAACTTTACAGTTGGCATAGTGCAGTCAGGCAGGTAACGTTCTCCTGACATCCGCCAAACCCAGACTCACCCAGCAGACTGCCAGACAGAGAAGGGTGATTCGTCACTCCACAGAACAGATTTCCACTGCTCCAGAGTCCAGTGGTGGTGTGCTTTATAGCACTCCATCCGAAGTTTGGCATACTGTATGGTGTAAGATGAACTCTAACCCCTACCCAGCCCTAACCTTAACCATAAGTAACCAAAGAAAATGCATAAATTTTATTTTAATTTAGTTTTTTATAACAGTCATAGATTTTTTTTAATTTGAGTTCCCCCTTGTCAAAATAACAAGTTTTTATCACGTTGTAGGGACATTTGCCCCCCCACAATGTAATATAGAAATAATGACATGAACACACCCTAATGCTTTCTTACCAATACATTGTGGAGTATCAGACCATTTTCCATTTTCACATGTTATGTAGTCCCACCATCCTTCTGTTTTGGGCTTATAATCCTCATCACATGCATATGAAATGGCAGATTCATCTTTTGTAAGGATCACGTATCCATTGCTTAAATTAGGTATAACACATTTCGCTAGAAATGATGAAAAAATGGTGTAA